TCAATTTCTAATTACTGCACTATATACAACCCAGAATGATGGCGAATTGATAAAATATGCAAATGAAGCAACAATTCATAGAATATATTAAAATTTCCATTTAAACTGTTAGTTAAGCTGTATACATTTGTAAATGTAAACATTAACCCTCAGGAAAAATATTTTCTAAACTACAGCATAATTGGCAACTCCAGAATCATATATAACAGAAAAGAGATCATTATACAGACAAGTACCTTTATCGCTATAAATAAAAGAACATTTCCACAGAGTTGTTGCTTCCTCTTGGCTGTCCCCACAGCACTTCCCCTGGCTCTCTGTGGAGCCATTGTTGACACCCTCCTCCATGGCAGGCAGTGGGGCACACATCTGCCTCCCAAGCCAGCAAGCCACACCCCTGAGGGCAGCAGTGAGCCTGAGCCAACCATATCCCCTGTATTGCCCAGGGCACAGGAGGTGCTTGCAGCCCTCAGCTGAACTGGTTGAAATTGAACAATATGGAGTTGAACTGAATTAGATCAAATGTAATGAAATTAAATAGCACGTGATGTCTGTAGGTTTCCATTTTAGAAGCTAAGTAACAAAGTCCAAATTCCCTCCCCTTCTACCAGATGAAATGCCTCAGGCCAACATGCAAGCAAGCCTGGGATCAGGAGATGCCTGGGACAGAACAATCCACAGACTAAACCAGGCTGCCTGTCACAGGTGCACTAACCACCTTCCCACCCAGGAAGGTGTCCGAACCCCATTCTCAATGGAGAGAAGGTACTCCTGGACCAGCTGGCACAGCCCCTCTCGTGAGCCCTCCCAAAACCCCTCAATGTGAAGGGTCTCTGCTAATGTGACGCCGAACAACACACGATTCAGAATCTTCAAAACAGCTGCTGTGACCTGTTATGTTCATCAGTCTCTGCAAATAATTATGTCATAATTTATGTTGAGGAAAAGGTGGCTTTCATGAAAAGTATACTTAGCTGTTTTTTACCTGACAACGAAAAACACAAAAATCTATTTTTACCCAGTTTTGCCTAATGTGCTAGAAAGCTTAGAGCAAAACAATGTACAACAGTGGTCAGTACCCCTTGATCTCCAGTTCTTGGTTGGGTATTGCCAACTCCCTTCCCCTTCCCCTTCCCCTTCCCTCCTTTCTTTCTTTCGAGATGGAGTCTTGTTCTGTCACCCAGGCTGGGGTGCAGTGGCCCTATATCTGGGCTCACTGCAACCTCCGCCTTCTGGGTTCAAGCAATTCTCATGCCTCAGTCTCTTGAGTAACTTGAGTAGCTGGAATTACAGGCACCTACCACCACGCCCGGCTAATTTTTGTGTTTTTAGTAGAAATGGGGTTTCACCATGTTGGCCAGGCTTGTCTTGAACTCTTGACCTCAGGTGATCCACCCACCTTAGCCTCCCAAAGTGCTGGATTACAGGCATGAGCCACCGTGCCCAGACTCTCATTTCTTTTTGGTGGTTGTTATTTTACTATATTCTCTACTGGTGTTTTTGCAAATAGCCTCTAGTTCCTTTTGAAAGTATAAAGGCAATAAATAATACACAAACCAAAATAGAACAAATATCAAACTATATTAGAGCTACTGAGCAAGAAAAGCCATGCTACCTACCCAAACGCTGCCATAAATTCCACACTTCCTTTCGTCATGTCAAAATTCATCAACAGGTAACAAATTATGTTGGGAAGATAAGATCACAATTTTAGCATTGAAAAAAGACAAATGATTTGGAAAACAGCATTAGTGATTTTCCAAAAGACCAGTGAATTAATAATCTATAAATAGGACCCACATTCCCATGCATTGCCAGGCACTCTAATCACCTCTGCAAAAGACTAGTAAATAAAAGGGAAAATAAATTAATTTTTTAAGGGGGAGGAAGAAGCAGAGATGGAAACTCTCATTATTTGAATGCACGTCATGCTTCAAGTGATGTTTTGTAGAGTATTCTGCATACAGTATCTATGGGATAGGGTCATTATTATTTTATAGGTGAGACTAATTTTACCCAGGCACAGGAATAAGTAACTCAGCCAGTATCCTAGCATTAGAAGAAGTCATAAATGATCCATCCAAGATTAAGTCCTAAGGTTTTCTCTCCAAAACGTGCCATTGTATCATTACTGACTCCAAAATACTTTCACATGTTCTGTGCACTTCACATTGATTATAACATTTTATCCTCCTACTAACTGTAGGTAGTAGTTAGAATAGGATCTGCCCATTTGGGGAGTGAAGAAACTGAAGCCAAGAGGCGTATGTTTCTAGCTGGGTCATATCCATGCTCTGATATTTCACGGCAGAACCACACTCCAGCTCTCTCTATCCCAGGGCTAGAACATTGTCATGCAGCTTCCTTTGCACCATCCTGTAGAAAAGTGAGGACGTGAGTCTTAAAGACTCACCTTCCAGCTGCTCATTCCAGGAGAGGGAAGAGTCAAATGTGCCTGCGCGCACATTATCCTACCAAGAGTGTTCGTATGTGATTTTATGCCCCTTCCCTCCACCCTAGACTTAACCACAATATTTTTAAAATGTAGATAAGGCTTTGGGGATAAATTCAGAAATGTGTTCTGTCCCCCGGATGCAATTACAATGCATCCGGCCTGTATGTCAAGCTCCTAAGCCTTCTGAAAATATCTTCCTCCTGACCATTTTGTAAGACAGCAGAGTCAAGAAAACAAAATTCCTGGAAAGAGGAGGTTAACTGGATGTCTGATTGCCTCCAAAAAGCAATTAAGACTCAAGCAGAAAGTTCAAGTTGATACTGAACCAGTTCAACCCTGCTATCCCCAAGCCCATGAAATCCCAGAGCTGCCCTGCCTCAATATAGCCTGACATGTTTCCAATGGCCATGATGATGCATATTCAGCAGCGTAAACACCATTGGCCTTTCCTAAATCAATATTCATGGAAACTCTCAGGCAATCAATATGCAGAGGGTAAGCCTTCCCCAGGGTAGCTTCTGCTGCAAATGGTAGCAGGCCCCTCCCACCCTCTAAACCCAGGCATCACACACTTCCTTGACACACACTAAGTCTTCAAAACACATGCCTGGGGCTGCCTTCTGTACATATACACACTGATTCACATAGAAAACTCTCAACCTCCCTAACAGAAATGTACCTCGCCCACCACTCATCGGAGATTTTGGCTGAGAGCTATAAACTGAGCAGGCTATTTTAGTTTTGTCTTTCATTTTTTGTAAGTTTAACTGAGCTCCATCAGGTAGTTCTAATAAGTCTAATTCCAACTTGCAAGGGAGGGGTGAGGACTGGGGGACTCATGGTCTCCATGAAGCTAAGCAAGAGGGAAGATAAAGATGCCTTCAGCTAGCACAGTGCCCAGCCAACCACAGCTGCTGAAGAAATCTTTTTTAAAAATCTCATTTTTAGTATTTGTGGGTACACAGTAAGTGCATTTATTTATGGGGTATATGAGAGATTTTGACACAGGCATACTGCATTTGTCTGTTCTCACGCTGCTAATAAAGACATACCTGAGACTGGATAATTTATAAAGGAAGGAGGTTTAATAGACTCACAGTTTCACATGGCTGGGAAACCCTCACAATCATGGCAGAAGACAAAGGAGGAACAAAGTCACATCTTACATGGCCACAGGCAAGAGACACTGTGTGCAGGGGACTCCCATTTATAAAACCATCAGGTCTCATGAGATTTATTCACAAACACAAGAACAGTATGGAGGAAACTGCCCCCATGATTCAATTACCTCCACCTGACCACCCTCCTTGACATGTGGGGATTATTACAATTCAAGATGAGATTTGGGTGGGGACACAGCCAAACCATATCACATACAATGTGCAATAGCCACATGCGGATAAATGAGGCATCTAGAGAAATGTTTTCAGGAGCAAAAGAGAAATTGAGTGAAATCCTCCTGTTCTTGCAGCTGATAGTCAGGTCTAGTTCCATGTGGCTCCAAACGCCTCCACCATGAGCTAAAAGCAGTGACTGACTGAAAAACCCTCTCTATTACAGACCACAACACTGAACCCAACATCCCCCTAAGTAGGTGAGTGGTTAAAAGCAAAGGAGTCTCTGGAGGTCATTGTGTTAAGTGAAATAAGCCACGCACAGAAAGACAAATATCCCGAGTTCTCACTCAAATGTGGGAACTATTAAAAAAAAAAAATTGATCTCATGGAGGTCGAGAATAGAATGATGGATACCAGAGACTCACAAGGGTGTGTGGGTGGCAGGATGTGTGGGTGGGAAGATGCGTGGGTGGGAAGGGTGTGTGGGTGGGAGGGTGTGCGGGTGGGAAGGGTGTATGGGTGGGAGTGAGAACAGAGATGAGTCAATGGGTGTAAACATACAGTTAGACAAAAGGTGTAAGTTCCAATGTTCAATTCAGAGTGGGTGACTATAGTTAACAACAATGTATATTTCAAAGTAACTGGGAAAAAGGACTTGAAATGTTCCCAAGACATAGAAATGGTCAGTACTTGACGTGATGGACACCCCAAATACCTTGACTTGATCACTGCGAATTCTATGCATGTAACAAAATATCACATATACCCCATAAGTACATAAAATATCGTGTATCAATTTTTAAAAAGCAAGGGAATCAGAAATCACCAGGTGTTAGTTAGGTGATTTTGTGCAGGCCATTTAACCTCCATTGGTGCTCCAGTTTTCTCATCTGTAAATTAGGGAAAACTTGGAGCATCTCATGGGACTGTAGTGAGAATTAAATGACATTGTGAAAATAAAAAACTGAACACAAGTCCTGCTCAGAGAAAGAAGTCAAGTAATGGTAGCCATCACTCTTCATCAGCCTAGAATGCATTCGATTCAGGAAACATAAGTGCTCATCTTTTTCTTCTCCCTTTAAAGGAGAGGATACCAAGATACAGTGAGGAATTAGCAGAGCTCCTGCAGGGGAGGTGTGGGCAGGAAAGGAGGGCTGAGAAAGGAGTGGCCAGGGACTGTCTAATTGGATTCTTTTTGTTTTCTGCAGGTTGTACTCACATCATTGGTCTTATGGGGAAATGTTAAGACCTCCCACTTGTAAGGTTTTATAGCCCTCTATGGAATGTTGAAGAAAGAGTAAAATGTATCCAAAAAAAACTAAACTGGATAAATTCTGAGGCCTCTTCAGGTCTTAAGATGGCTGTTTTCTAGGTCCTCTTGTTGCAGCAGTGAAATCCACAGACATGGACAAGTGAGTCAATTACGTGCCTTTCAGAGAAAACTTCTGACTTAGGAATTCCAGCTATTTGGCCCAACCCATATTAGACTGTGTTATAAAGAATGGGTAAATTACATCACGAAGGAAAGAGCAGAGGAAACACAACATTCCTTCAAGACCCATCAGCTCTGATGTTAGCAGAACACCCCTAAAGAGGAAAACAAGAAATTTTGAATTTGAACTTGGTACTTCCCAGCAGCCCCGGGAGTGGGGTCAGAAGCCCTGCTGGAGGGCAAAGAACTCTGAGGATCAAAGATGTTGAGCATCACCTTAGAGGCCAAAGATCAGAACAGTGGAGGTGGCCTTTGAAGCCCAATCTATGCTTTCACCAGAGAGTGAGAACGGCCTCTATTTCCAGGAAGCTCACTGCAACAACAATCACGATCCACTGAGCCTGACAAGGTGAGAATTTACTTTCAGCACCTGCAATAGTTTCCTATTAAAGTTACATATGAAACCCTGCCGTCTTGTACCAACTAATGTTCACACCAGCGTTCCTATTTTCAAGATAAATTGCAAAATAAAAACTCTTGTTTTTGTTAGCAAAAGAAAACTTCTTTAGGAGGACAAAAGGGAGATGAAGAAACAGAAAACACAGCTCTCCATCTAAATTACAGAATGCAGAAAATATCCTGAAGTGAATAACACAGGAATCACCCTTTTTCCTCCTGAGATAACAGGTTACTTATAAGAAACAAACTTGAAATCTCTGCATCTGGACCAGCTTCCAGAGGCTTTTGTCCTGACCAGGTGAGAGGGAAAAAAAAAAAACAACAAACTGATGGTCGGTCAGTGGGTAAACAGTGACACCCAGTGGTCACTTAGATAACCAGCTGTGCATTCTCCCAATTCAACTATCCACATTTAAAAAAAAAAAAAAATGGTCAAGTAGTATGCATTTTGTTATTCAACAGATATTTACTGAATAACTAGAAGATGCTAGATGTTATTCTATTCATTTTATACCACTCTTCAAATTACGGATGTTTCCCCACCGAAACCGACCCTCACAAAAGAAAAGCTATCTGGGGCCTTAGATCCCCTTTCAAAGGCTCAAGGTGAGACCCACAAACAAGGGTCAGCAAATTCCAAAGGAGATGAAGGGCTTTTCCCGGGGTCACAATCAAATCAACGTGCCATGTGGCAGCCAAGTGCGAGTCTCCAGAGGCTTCTCTCAGGGCTCCCATGGGAAAGGGTTTGTGCACGTTGACTTCAGGCCATGTGAGCACTGCAGGCGTTGATCATACTATTAATACAAGGACAGCTGCTCTTCCTGGCTTTCTTCGACTAATCTCCATAACTTGGTTAAGCCATGTTATCTTCTACTCTTATGATGAGTAAATTGTCGTTTTCATCATTTCTTTGTAGCTGGATTTGGGGAAGGAAAGGAAACCAGGGAAGAAGGGGCTGAAATAATTGGTTTCCACCGTGACCTTTGAACCCTCGGGTGAGTTGTCAACTTCATTGAGGATGAGTGTCCTCGATATCAAACGAGATCACTTTACTTGCAAGCTTGTTGTGAGGACTGAATGAAACCTTTTCTTTTTTCTTTCTTGGAGTTTTGGAGCAACGTCCCTGAGCCAAGCCCCACACCAGCTTGAGCCCTATCATCGGTAAATATACGGTGCTTTCTCCCCTCCCCTCTGCACTCCAGCTTACTCTGCAGTCCGGGGGTGGCACCAGGATCCCCTTTAAGACTTTGCCACTTGGGCCAGCTGTGCCTCTGAGAAATTCCCTGTTTCTATTGCAGGCCACAAGGACGAGCTGAGAAATGGCTTCCAGTCACCATCTAGATTAGAAAGCCTATAGTTCAAATATAGAGATATCAGTTATGCCTGTGAAAAGACATTAAATCGCACAGGGCTGTAATTCCTAGACTCTACAAACTTCATCTTGCACTAAATTCTATTATTTCATTTATAATTCAGATTCTTCAAATCTAAGAGTGCCTAGCTGAAAATTATAATACCTACAACTATTCCAAAACTGGACTCTTTATTTGCCTTACTGGAACCAGTAGCTGATTCAAAGCAAAATGAAACAAAATTCCTCCTTTCTCTAATTTAGTGAATCAATGATCTAACTGAACTCATTTTTGGACTGAGTTTGCAGCACTTGCAGCCCTGAGGGACACATTCCCCCACCACACTGAGCTTGCACTCCCATCAACTCAAGTGAACATTTTGCTTATTCAGATTGGGGGGGTGAAGGAAGTCACAAAAAGGTTAACATGTGCGGCATTTCATTGTAATATGTACTCACTACTAACTAAATTAAAAGAGATGTGAGTTATTAAAAACTCCATCTTAAGAAAGATAAGTAACAGAAATCAGAGTTCAGACCCATTGTTACTGAGTTTCCAACCAACACCTGTGAGTTAAACCTATGGCCACCCTGAAAACAGTTCATATTTTCAAAAGCAATCCTTCATCGAAGATGAAATGCACTAAAGATTCATATTACATATCATGCTACAATAAGAAAAGCAAATAAGGCCTTTCCATATTCAATAATAAAGTTTAAAGAAAAGGAATATTTGTTTAGCCAGTTAGCCAGAAATTAGGTGTATCAGAATACATCATTCTCTGAGCATTTTAGAAAATCAGGCTATTTCTACATTGTGTTTTTCTTTGTAAGCCCTTAAAAAATATAGAGAAAATTCTTGAAATTATAGTGTTTGTCTTCTGGAACAAAAAATACTAATCAAGGAAATCTGCAAATTTAATTGTTCATTGAGCTTCCACAGCAAACACTGTGTGAGGAGGCTGAAGCTTAGAAGTCCAAAAACTAAAAGATTATTATTATTTCGATAATAATATCTTATGTCTGCATAACATCTGAACTCAGTTCTTTGCAGAGGTTCTCTCCTTCCTCAAGCAACCTCTGAGGTAGGGAGGGGCGACAATATTGGCTTCATTTTACAGTTAAGAAAACAGAGGCTCACGGAGTCATAAGGCTGGGCGGGAACGTCCGTCCTGTTCTCTGGGTCTGAAGAGCACAGTCATGAAGGATGGAAGTCATTTCACATTTTAAAATGAAACAGATAACTTGTGCTAAATGCGTGTCCCGGCCCCGCCCTGAGAGACAAGGAAGTCGAAGCGGGTGAGGGCGCAGGAGGCCGGATTTCCTGTGATGCTGGACACGTGGCAGGAAGCGGGGAGAGCCGACACCGGAAGCCCTGGAAGGTTGCCTGCTCTGCAGCAGCTGGAGGGAGCAAGAGAGCCCTGTGGCTGGCATGGTCAGAAGAAATCTAAGCGGACTAAGAGCCATAACCTGCCCTCGAACTCAGGTGTGCTTTCTCCGATTCAGGCGAAACTCAGGGTTCACCATTGAGAGAGGCTTCACCCAGCCCTCTTGGTGCCCTCCTCGGGGTTCCATGGAATCCTAACGCATGCTCGTCATTTCATTTTTAGGCTTTGCATTAATTTCAACCTGCTCAAGACATTAAAGCACTCGAGAGTTGAAAAAATTTCAACTCATTTCAAATGTCATGCTGCCAAGGCTCCCTGCTGGCTTTTCCATATTTAATCAAAAGCACTCGGTTGCCTGCTTTCAAAGTAGTTAGCGCCAAGCCCTCTGCCCAACAGCCCTAAGCTGCAGCCCTTCAAAGTGCTGGGTAGACTGACCTCAGCCAATCAGCCAATCAGCCAGTGCTGAGAAATTCAGACCTTAGTGCTGAGTGAATGCCCAGTGTCATTTGTAGCTGAATGCAGCCGTGTAATGGGTGCTGGGTGATTATCTGTAATGTATGGAAAGCAAGATGAGAATCTCTTTTTACTCCTCTTACTGTTTTCTAATCTAATTGACAAGGAGTTCAGGGAAGTGCAGTAAAAATTCTTCTCTAGTCAATGGGTGATTTTTTTTTTTTTTTTTTAATGTGAGAACAATCAAAAAGTATGAAGGAGAATGAGCTGGAGTAACCTCGATTTAAGAAAACAGTAACACACTATTAAAAAAAAGAAAGAAAGAAAAGTAACCAAGTGAGGGAAGAAAGAACAGATGGATGAGACCATCAGATTCCTCTTTCCAGGAAGGAAATTCATTAGTACAGTAACTCAGCTCTTTAATTATGAATGGGTCTATTTAATTCTCCAAGTTTACTACTGATTTCCTGAATAGTATATGTTTCTGAGTTAGAACATATTCATTAGTCCTTTCCATTCCAGGACACCTTGGCAAAGAGCTGAACAAATGACCTCTCAGCAGGTGAGCACCGGCGTGGGGTAACCTACCTGTGACCATCTCCCCAGAAAGTCTGGACCGCAGAAATGTTCACAATTTTTAATGAATGTGCACAGCTCTTGAATGTGCACAGTAGGACATTTTTAAATGATCAACACTCAAATTTTTGAAATTATCATGAATTATTGTCCCAAAGATTAAGAATTGAGTAAAAGAATGCTTCTGCATTTTCATAATAAACCCAGAAGGTTAATATTTCTGGCCCAACTCTATAAAACAGAATTAGGAAATTAATGTCCTGCAATAGTATTTCTGAATATTCTGTAATAATGTTGCTCATATCTCTGTAGTTTCATGGGGAAGACAAATGTTTTCTGTAAATTCAGTTGTCATCTGCTTAGAACATAAGTCCCTAGTGGATAAGGCTGTTTTATTATATATATGAAATAATATACATATGAAATAACATATATGTGAAATAATATATATATGAAATTTCATATATATATGAAATATATATGGGCTTTCAGATATATATATCTTTAGTCCCTAGAACAGCTCTAGCTTCTACAACCTACATGTCGATGGATAAGAAACTACTACAATTTCAAATGACAAAATACTTACAACTAAATCAGATTTTTCAATATAGGAAGAGCCATTTTTCTATCAAGTGCTTGTTTGCAGTGGTTCACACTGTATAATGAATCAACACCTTGTATTTTTAGGTTTAAAATATATTTTTAATTCTTAAAAAGCAACAATACTGATATATACATATTTAAATAAATCTGTGTTTTCAACTCAATTAGCTATTTGGGAAGACTAATACAAGCATACAATCTCAGATTGGAATTTTACATTTTTATATGAATGTGAATCAAGAAAGAAGGGGTTCAGAAAGAAGGAAAATGAGATAAATATTTTATACTTTTTCAAACTACAAGAGTTTTTTTTTTCTTTTTTTTTTTTTTGCTATAGTAACAAGAAGAGTAAACTTTCCTGAGTTTCATGTAGATCCTAACTTCATGCTCACAAAAGGGATGGGGAAGAGTGATCATTTTTTAACATTATATTTATATCTATAATGATGGATATGCATTTTATTTTTAGATCTTATGCACAAAATCATCAAGTGGAAATATGAAAAGGAGCGTAAAATATACCCACTCACAGGGATTTTAAAGATATGCCTTCCAATAAGAACTAACATTTTATGTGAAACCCAAGATGATCTGCAGAGGGAAACGTGCTGGGCTGGGAAGGAAAGTGGTTGGAGGCTGCAGCCCAGCTTTGAGGCTATGATGGTCCAGTTGCTGTTGGGCTTTGCATCTCACTTTCCTGTTCTGTGAAATCTGACCAGATGATCTGAAAGCTCCCTTCCAGCTCTAAGCCAGCAATGCTTACATAGAGAATAAAATGAACGCCCCACCCCACCGGGGTTACTGCTGATCCACACAGATGCACACTCCCACTTCCCTGCATCTTCACGTTCACTACATTCATCTCCATCTGATTATCAAGTTGCAAACTGGACCAGCGCCAAACAGCAACTTCTGTTATAAAATCTCTCTCAATCTAATTCCCACATGGGAGAAAGGCACCAGGAAGATGGAGCGGCCCCATCTTCCTCCCCAAATGAAACACGACTAAGACAGTCCAACCAGCCTGTGATCCCAGCAACAGCTCCCAGCTCCAGATGTGGCAGCCTGATGTTGATGAGGTCAAGTCACAGATCCAAGACTCACCAAAAAAATTCACCACACACAGAAAAAGGAAAAACAACTTCTTTCCTTATCCAGAATGTGTCCATTAACCTGGAGGCACGTCCAAGAGCCTTGAAGCAGTAACCAACGGCATTAGCATGGAGTGCAGGTGTGTCAGCCCATTCTACGCCACTGCAAGCAGAGCCACCTGAGCATCCCTAGAAGGAAGACCCCTTGACCTTCCCATTCTTACCATGAGGCACGGTTCCTGTTTTGGGGGAAAATCATCCTAAGGAAGGATATTGCATTGCTATTGACAAAGGAAAAATACGCTTGTGCATTTCTCCCGGTAAGCTAATTTGCAAAAGGCCTAATCACACTAAGCAAATATTTTCCAGCCCCAAGAGAGGAGGGAAAGAGGATGAGGACGTGCTCGCCCCCTGAGGACATGACCCTTCCTCCCTATCCCTGGGAGAACTCAGGGCCAGGGTCATACCTTGTTCCAGGGAACCTGGGAAGGAGGGTCTTTGGCTGGTCCCTGGGTTCAGGGTGAAACTCTGGATGGTCCCACAACGTAGGAAAGGGAAAGTGAATGTCAGGGAAGTCCAACCGTGTCTGCTACACACCCATGTGGATGCAAGCCCCCTCCCATCACTGTGACTCCAAAGGCTGGAATCTCTCTCATCCTCTTGTCAGCGCCCCAGGTCTTAGCACAGACTGAATCAACATGAGAACGTCGCTGAATGGAGTTAGAATCATAAATACCATTTCGTTAGCCTCTGAGACATCATGATTACGATATTGTAATGGCCACGCAGTCTGAACATTCGCCCGTGTCAGACTGGGGTTCGCTAACCACCTGAAGGTGCACACCATGAGTCTCCTTTACAGTCAGCATCGGATGAAGCTGCTGGGCAGATCCAGGCCCCCCACAGCCAGGCCCCTGCAGGGCATCCCGCTGCCTGGCTACCCAGCTACCTGTGCAGGACCACAGCGCTGTCTCACCTGTAGCCACGCAAAGCGAAAACCTCTGCAATTGCTTCTGGAAGGGCCGCTGGCAGAGGCACTTTTCCATTGGTGGAGGAAGCCTCCCTTAGCTGAGCAACAGCTGCTGAACCCCATGGTCCTCCTGCCTCCGGACATTCCAGTCACCTCCACATGGCTCTGCAGCAGAGCCCCGCGTTTATGGATTGCAGCCGTGGCCTTTATGGGTGGACTATGAGTGAGTGAGGGGGAAAAGCTGGAAGAAGGAAGCGTGCGCATGTGACTTCAGTGACGCCTGTGCTCCGACCACATAGTTTAAGTGTCAGCCTCCATCTTGTGCTTATTTTTAAACCATTGCTATTAACTTGACCAATGGTCATAATGCAGTTCCCCCCTTACCATCACAGTATTACCAGGAAATTCGTGTTCAAACTTCAGCAGCACAGAATTCCCGCGAGAAAAAGCACTAACTGGTCGCATGCGGTGGCTCACGCCTGTAATCCCAGCACTTTGGGAGGCTGAGGTGGGCGGATCACCTGGGGTCAGGAGTTCAAGACCACCCTGGCCAACATGGTGAAACCCTGTCTCTACTAAAACTACAAAAATTAGCCAGGCATGGTGGTGCACGCCTGTAATCCCAGCTACTAGGGAGGCTGAGGCAGGAGAATCATTTGAACCCGGGAGACAGAGGTTGCAGTGAGCTGAAATTACGCCATTACACTCCAACCTGGGTGACAAGAGCAAGACTCCGTCAAAAAAAAAAAGGAAAAAGAAAAAAGAAAAAAAAAAGCACTAA